CTTCATCACTTGAATTATCTTCATTTTCAAGTAAATCTTTATCTTCTACATCTTGACAAGCTTGAATTACATAAAAAGAAAATAAATTTTTTATTTTTTTATGGTCCGACATTAGATAAAAAATTATTTTTAAAAAAAAATTCGTAACGGTCGATCAATTTTACGAGATCAATGATCTCAATTATAAATTTCGATCATAAATTTTGATTGGTTACTGGATTTGACGATCAAAATGCCGATCGAACAACTTTGAAATGGCCTATAGTAGTAGTTGATGTGGTAGTACCCAAAAGTAGTCAATGTGGTAGTACCCAAAAGTAGTTGATGTGGTAGTACCTAAAAGTAGTCAATGTGGTAGTATCCAAAAGTAGTTGATGTGGTAGTACCCAGCGTTAAGCCAAAAGAAAGTAATCGATACAATAATAACCTAAAGTAATCGAGGATACCCTAAAATAGCAACTATACGAGAAAGAATTCTAGAAAGGCTCAGGCGAAAACTAGGGTATAAATTTGGTAGTACCCAAAGGTAGAATTATATAGAAATAAAATAAGAAATTATGCTTTTGGGTACTACCGGACATAGGCAGGAAAGAGGTCAGAAAGGTAAAAAGACTCAGAAGAATACTCAAGGTAGTAACTATATGAGAAAGAAATCTAGGAAGGCTCGAGTGAAAACTAGAGTATAAATCTGGTAACCCAGATAAGCAGAATTATATATAGGAAAGAGAGAATAAATTTTGCGCATCCGGGTTACCAGGTGACAGGCAGGAAAGAGGTCAGAAAGGCAGAAAGATCCAGGAGAATACACGAAAAAGGGTATGAAAGCAATATAGCCTGAATCAATTCGGCACTTTGTGCCTCAACCCGGCAATCAAATGGGAATATAAAAGGTGGGATTGTGCATCTGGGTCACCAATTCGGCACTTCGTGCCTCAACTTAGCAATCGAAAAGGTCATACAAGATAGGATTGCAACACATCTTTAGCAAATAGATGGATTGCAAATTCAGCACTTCATGCCTCAACCGGCAATCAAGAAATGGCAATTGAGAGGGAAGCAACTATGTGAGGGTGTTCTGGCACCAGAACAGTATCATGTGACTATAACACAATAAGACATAGTATTAATTCGCTTATTTTCGGCTAACACTATTCCGGATCATCTAGAAGGATTTCTCAATCTAGTGCTCCAATTTGTGATCATTTATAAAACGAATGTATCAGAGAGAAAAACGTTTTCATGTTTATTCTGAAGAAAATGCTTTCTATGGTAGTAAATCAAAAATTATTGATGGGAACACAATCTATCAGGAATGCGGTATAGCCATTTGTTTCTTGTGTGATCAATCCTGAATTTACTACGCTACCTGACGTGATATAGGTGATCCAAAACTGGCGAACTAATAGAACCACTCTAGTTCTCTGCCAGTTCTATGACAGCTTCAGGATACTACCAGGTCGCTACCATAGCGCTAAGTTGGAATCTCAAATTATGTGTCCAAAAGATCAGCCAAAATTATGATATAATGTCAGCCAAATCAATCCCGAATTTATTGCATCACCCGACACGATTTTTTTTTACACCATTTCAGCAACTTAAAAGGTCAGCAAATGGGCCACACCCTCGACTTCAAATATGACAACCAAAAGGGTTATAGACTGGAAAAACCAACTTTATTCTTATACAATCGTTAAAAGGCTTCAGAATGAAAAAACAAACCTCTGCCCTATTTAGCGACCAAACAGTCACAGACCAGTAAAAACAGATGGATAGCAATAAATCATCAGAAGGGGCATAGACACGTAAAAACAAGCAAGTAGGCATCAATATCTATAAGTAGGCATCAATATCTATAAGTAGGTATCACTATCGCGTAAGTAAATAGATTAAGTAGACATCACTATATATATAGTGATGTCTACTTAATCTATCTACTATTAATTTATTTAAATAATATTTAGATAAATTGAATTTTATCTTGGTATTTTAAATTATTCAAATTTTTAACTCATTTATTCTAGATATTCATAACAAATTTTTTATATTTACTTCATTAAAAAAATTAGTAATATTAAAAATTATTTAATTTTATAGAATTTTTTTTGTTAAACTAATGCTAATAAAAAAAAAAAATTTTAACTAAAATAAAATAAAATTTATCTAAACTTTTATTCTTCTATCTGATTTAAAAAAAGCAAATTTAAACTCATCAAATTATATCATTTATTTATATTTATCTCTCTAATTTCATTTTTTTATTTCATTTTAACTTATTTTTTTGCTATGTTTAGATTAAAAAGAATTTTTACAAGTAATATAATTATTAATTCATGATACACAAGTCAATTACATAAATTTCATAGTCAATTTTAGTGCAAATTTTTATCGATCACTAATACTTTTTTAAAATACACAGTTTTCTGTCATTAAGTACCTATTCTATATATGCATGTAAATGTAATAAATACTTATAATACATGACGCTTAACATGAGATTTTTAATGATATATTTTTTAAATAAACTTCATAATAAAATTTATTATTTTTATTTGACGCTTCTCCAGATTTCTGCTCAAAATATCTATACTATTAGTATATAAAATACATGTATATACTATTAATAACCTTCTTTTAGCGCTACTTGAGTATTTTTTTATGTAACTGTGCTGCATAATGAGTTATCTAGCCTTATATAGTTATTACTTTTGAAATATCTAAACTTTCAATTTTCCCTTCTTGCACCTTTAAAGTCAAAAAATCCTACATATCTTAAGCGATCATTTGATAACTTTTGTTAATATTTTCAGCTAAAAAACATTCTTTTAAAATAACTAAAATTTTTTTTAATGCATTTTCTACCACCTTTTTTTTCATACTTTTGAACTTCTTTTATTGCCCAATCACTTGATAATGGAAATTCAGTTGCCTCTAAAGATCTGCAATATATAATATATATTCAATTGATTTTGCCTTTTTAAAGCAAAATTTTATCAAATTTACCTTAAGGTGTATTCATACTATGATTTCTTAAACATAATTCTAAATAAATAAAGTTAGAAATTTTATACAGATAAAATATACAAATATATATAATTACTTTTGTTCTTTAAAGTTTTGTATATTAATTTTTTGTTCAAATTTTCTACTAATTTTTGTCTTTTATTTTGATTTCCATAATCAATTTTTTGATTTTGTAATTTATTAGTTAATTCTTATAGCAGTAATTTTTTTAGACAAATTCTTAATATGTCAGTATATCATTAGAAATATATATAGTATTTAACATAATAATAGAATCAAAGGTATGTAATAGTAATATAAGTAGCAATATACTACTAGTATACATAACTTTATCTGATATATGCAGAATTGAAATTTTTTATGAAGATTTAGGTTCTATTAATTCAGATATTTGTGATAATAGTTGATTAATCTCACCTTTCACAAATTTTTAAATCTGAGTAAAAGAAAATGACTAATTTTCAATATTTGATATAATTTGAGCTTTTATATATTCTGCATCTTCACCTTTAATTGGTCAGATTCACTCAAACCAATTAGATATATCAAGTATAGTTATAGATTTCCTTTTATTTTTTGTCAATAAATTATTATTATTAATTACTAGGTAATTCTTATATTAAATCCTAATAATTATAGCATTTACATAGTATTACCTTTTAGTCTGATTTGGCTTTATATAAGTAATTAAAGTATTAAAAATATTTTTAATAGCTGCGGTAATATTACTACTTTCTTGAATTTCTTTACCAATTTGAATATATTACTTTATTGAAAGTAAGATCTAATATTTTGTTAATTATTATAAATGTTTTATTTTTTTAAAAAAATTATTTTATGTTACAAACTTGAGTATGATGTAAATTCACAGTTATTTTAGCTTCATCTGCTTTTAGAAATATCCATTTTTTTTACTTAAATTCTATATTATTTATACTATTTGCTTATGATAATCATAAGTTCTAAATTGTGATAATATGAACTATTATCTGAGATGATGCTGATCCACTTTAGCTTAATATCTATGTATTTTAGTGAGTATCTGTGGATTAATAATCTATAGCTTATATATTAATTTTAATATTTTCTCTAGATTTGATATATAATAAAACTATATGTAATGCCTAACCCTTTTTCTAAAAAATTTTTGTTTAGTTTCGCATGCAGATTTAGGTAAGATTTTTATCTTATAATTGATTACTAATAGTGTTTCATCTTCATTTAAATTTAGAATAGTTGCATTATATTACACATTTAAATATATTTTTCTGATTTGATATGCAATATAATACAATATACAATTTTGATATTCTTAAATTTCTTTATGGTAAAATGAATTTAAGTTGTTCTTCAAATATTTTATTAGGATTATTACCAATATATGTAAATTGCAATTCAAAATCTTGATACATTTTTACAGTTAAATTTTTTTTATTTATTTCTTATACAAATAAAGTTTTCTTTTTTTTATTTCAATTAAATAATAAAAAGATGATCTAAAACCCTGAACCTGCATAATATAATTATTCATCTAAAGAAATACCAATTTCACATACGAATAATCTGAATTTTCTAATAAAATAACAAAATAAACAAAAACTAACACCTTCTAAAAGTTATTTATTAATTTTTGTTTTATCATGACTCATAATAAGAGAATCAAAAAACCTAGTATCATTTCTAAAAAGTTGTTGATAAATTGAAGTTATGACTGTTAAAAAATTATTAAAAATAGCATTTTTTAAATCTTCTGCTTTACAAAAATATCCTGGTTGTTATAAAGAACCAGTATAGTCCTGAATAACAGTAATAAAAAAGTGTGTATTTTGAAGAATAACTATCGTTTTCATGTTTATTCAAATAAGATATAAATCAGAAGTTTAGGTTGTATTTTTTGTGTATCATGTTTCCTACTAATCTTGAAAAATAGTCTGTAATGTATATTTTCGTCTATAAAATCAAGTGAAATTAAACTAACTTGATATTATTTTCGTTTATTTATTATTTAATACATATTTGACTAATAATTTGAGATAATATTATTTAAGAAGCGTGAGATTCTCTAGCATCATAAAAATAATAGTAATTATTATTATCGCAAATCTATAATAATGATTAACAAATTTTTGCAGTTGACTTACATATTATGAATTAAAATTTTTATTATAAAGATATTTTCTAATAATATTATTATGTAATGTAATATCAAGATTAAAGTTTAGTATATCACTAAGAAAACAAACTGATTATTTTTTAAACAGTTTGTAGCAATCTATCTTGACGATATTATTATTAAGTTAGAACTTGCATTTTTAAAATACATTATTAATAAAAAAAGAATTTTATCAGACTTATTTAAAATTAATAAAATTAAGAAATTTCAATTTCTAAAAATATTATAGAACTTAAAGAATTCCTTAGACTAGCTTCCTATTATCGAAAATTTATCTAAGAATTTTCTATTAAAATTGCTTCTTTACATCTATTATTTTGAAAAGAAAGTCCTTTATATAGACCTCAACTTAATAAGAAGCATTTGAACATTTAAAAAATTTCTTAATTATAGTATTAGTTTTAATATATTTTGACTTTAAGCGAAAGTTCTTATTATTTACTGATAGATCTTATGTAGGACTTAGAACAGTACTAGCATAACTTGATAATCAAAATAGAAAACATATAGTTGCATATGTTAGTTAAAGTTTGAATAATGCTAAACAAAATTATGTGTCTACTAAATTGAAATATCTTACTGCAATTTGAGAAATAGAACATTTTAGATCATATTTACTTTATTAACCATTTGAGCTAGTCACTAATCATATCACATTGCAGTGGCTATTTAATAAACTAAACCTATTCAGGAAATTTATGAAATGGATTATAAGAATTATGAAGTCTCTTACAAAATCAAATACAGAAAAGAAAAAATATATTTAAATGCAAATGTTTTATTTTAACTTCCCTTTCTTACAATTTAATTACAATTCAGAAAAACAAATAACACATAGAGTGAAACTTAAGTATTAGCAATGTGACTGACAGCTCTAACAACCAAAATAGATTTAAAAACTTACAACTAACTTTATAACTTTTTTAATATTCTAACTTATCCCTTAAATACAACTTTATGTAATAACTTAAAATTTGAAAACATTCCTTTAAATATTTTATTAAAAATCAATAACTTTACTGTCAAAATCAAAAACAACTCTCACAAGTCATAAAAAACTATTAAAGTCAAAATCTTAATCCACAATGTATACAATAAATCTCTAGGAAGACATTTAGGTCATGATATCACTTACAATAAAATAGCCTCTAAGTATTACTGGTCAAATATATATCAAGTTATTAATAATTAGATTAAAACTTATAATACATGTCAAAAGTAAAGAAGGCCTTAACAAATGGAATACTTACATTTAATACCAGTTGGACATCCCTTTGATCGTATTAGAATAAATTATTTAAGACCTCTTTCTCAAATAACTAAAGAAAACAGATATATTATAGTTACTACTGAGTATTTTATTAAATAGGTAGAAGCTGTCATAACCTCTGATTATACTTTTTAAACAACTGCACAATTTATTTATGGTAAAATAATTTGTCATCACAGTACATTAAAGGAAATTTTAACTGATTAAACTATATCCTTCCAGAATAAATTAATTATCGACCTTATGCATATTGTTAGAACTAAACATAGATTATTATCTCTATACTATCCTTAAACTAACAGATTAACTGAACGATTCAACTGAATTCTTTGTAATATTCTAGTAAAAATATATAGAACAGCATAAAGATGAATAAAATTCATATTTACTATCAGCTCTATTTACTTATCAAACTGCTTAGCAAGAAATGATCAAATTAGAGTCCTTTAAATTATTATATGAAAGGAAAGTAACATTATCTATTAACTTATAACTGTGATGCTTTTCTCTTGAAAGCAACCTTTTACAAGTAGTGAATATACATCATCAGTTAATTTTTGTCTAATTAAAATAAAGAAAATTTAATGCATAATAAAATATTCTGTAATGTTAATAATAGCAATAGGAATATTACAATAAAAGTAATCCTGGAATAAATTATTAAATTGAAAATAAGGTGTTAATATTTAATGTATCACAGTCACATATATATAGTGACAAATTTAAAGATAAATTTGATGAACTGTTTTACATACATAATATTATACAGAGTGTGATCAAAATTATCTGATCAGTTTGTTTGGCCAAAATTATACCAATCATTACATATTAATATAATATAAATAATACATAATTTTGCTCTTACCATTATAATAAATAAACTTTTGCACTTCATTTTTTCTCAGAATTTTTTGGAAATATAAAGCCACTTATCTCAAAAACTTGTGATACAATCATTTATGGTTATAATTGTAGACAATCAAATTATACAATAGCTAAACAGTTGGAGTGTGAGAAAACAACTATTAATGATATTCTTAAATACCTTTATGAAACATATTCTTTAACTCCAAAAAAACAAACTGGCCATCTACCACTTCTTAATTCACCAGCCAAATAAGAACTTAAAGCCTTTGTTCAAGAAAATGATGAAAATCGTTGACTTTGTTTAAAAAAGCTTGTAACAGTTTGGACAGCTTATACAAAACAGCCTATTTCTACTATTACTATATGGTGGAATCTTAAGAAAGTTGGGTTTACATCTTGTATACCTCATAAAAAACCCGCAATGATAGAAGTACATTGTCAGGCTTGTCTCAAATGGACTCATACATACAAAAATTGGGAAGAAAAAAAATGAAAAAGAGTATTTTTTTTAGATGAAAGTACTTTTATACAATTTTAATAAGATCGTTAAGGAAAGGTATAGCGTAAATCTGAAGAAGAATTAAACTTAAACTGTATTGCAGTTACTGTAAAATATAGTCCTAGTAAAATGTTTTGGGATACTTTTCTTAACATAGGCTTAAACCAATTGTTCCATTAAAGGCTTAGTTACTGGTCAAACACATGCTAAGGTTATTAATAAATATGTTGTACCTACCTTGAATAAGTATTTTCTACAAGGTAATGGAATTTTTCAGGAGAATAATGCTCCACCACATCATTCAAAAGTTGCTATTTCTGTCTGTGAAAAATGCTGAAATTGTAAAAATGGATTGATTTGCATAAAGTCCTGATCTGAACTCGATTGAGAACCTCTGGATAATAATAAAAGTAATAGTTCATCATTGTACCCTACCACCATCTAACATCTAAGAATTTGAAAAGTATATTAAAAATATATGAAAGGATCTTTCACCTGAATATTACAAAAAATTGATCAAAAGTATGTCTCAGAAAATTGAGACGGTTATTACCGCAAATAGAAATAGTATTAATTATTAATAATTTAATTTTTTTATGTAAAAATTAATAAATAAAGATAAGATGAATATATTTATCTTAAATTTTAATTTTTAATATATAATACATATAAAGTTTTTATATTTTAAATAGTGGCCAGATAATTTTGATTACCTTCTATACAACTTAATATATACAAATTGCGTATTATAGATTGACAAGTTAGAAAAAATCCAATATACTGATCTTTTAAAACTATATTTAAAAAGATTTGAATGGATACTACAGATCATCATTAGTTAAATCGTATTCTTTATAAATATAAGTCTAGCAAAGATCTTAATGAAACTATTAGGTAAAATTTAAAATAGCTATACTAAATAATTTTGAAATTGTATTAGAATAACTGAAGTATATGATAGGTTTCTTGACTATAACTACTCAGATTCTAAAACTGACATAACTTTATTACAAAAGTGCAATTAACCTATCAAGCTCTTTTACAATTAATGCGTATGAATAATCAACTTTTATCACTTATTAATTTTTTTATTTAAAATAATTTCTTAATGATGAAACTCCTATTCCTACTTTATAGATTTTTACTATTATCACACATTATTATAGAACTGCTATGCGAGTCTTTCATCTATTTAAAAACCTTAGAGTCTAACGAATTTTTAGCACTCAATTACTCACTTTGATGATGATTCAATGCTTAAAAACTACTGAATATTAAACCTTAATAATTAAAGCTCTAAATCTTTCTGCTGAAGCAAAAACCTTAAGCAGAAAGTAATATAATTGGATTAGATTGATGAACGTAATGCAAAAGGTTACAAATTTAAATATTAAACATATTGAACATATTTAATATATGGGATACATTTGATAAGTATGATATAACTAATATATTGGATAAATAAAACATATTAGATATATTTGATTTATTTGTTATAGTATATTTATCTATGTATTAAATTTAATATAAATAGAGAATAATAAAATTATGTAAACTTTAGTTCGCTTTTAGTTTACTTTTAGTTTTATCCTTAGATATACCTTTAGTAGCACTTTTTGAGACATCTAATCTAACTTGCACATTTAGTACTTTTAATCTTTTAGTTTTCTTATTTTTATTTCTTATTTTCTTATTTCTTATCATTAATAAATATATTATTATAACCTTAAATCATTGAATTGTCTTACTTTTAATATTATTAAACATATACTACTATATAAATTATATAGCTTAAGTTAAACTACACAGAGGTTTACTATATAAACTTAAAAGAATCAGCACTTAAATATCTTATCTAACAGTCACAATTCAATAGGATTGCATATTAACAATATATAATAATAATAATAGATCTTTTTCAAATTCCAAAAAATTTGTATTCAATAGAAATTAGTCATAAATTAGTTTTTTCATTATTATTTTATACTATACTTCTTCACAAAATTAAAAATAAGATAAATTTTCTTATAAATAAATCAAAAGAAATATTAATTAAATAAAAGTTCAAATAAAATCATCTCTTCTATTTATACTTTCATATCTTTAAGTCTAGTTATATTCAAGCTGATGCCTACAAAATAGAAGAGAAGAAATATTTAAAGCATTTCTTAAAGAAAACTAAAAATACATCTACTAACTCACCCTTTCCTATTTTATCTAAAAGCAAGATCTGATTCTCTAAATCTCTAAGGTAGCATTCTAAAAAAGAGAAAAGAAATGTTAATTTCATTTTTAAACTCTAAAGTAAAAAATATCTAATCCTATATTTACCTTATAAAAGTTCAAGAAGTCTAAAATACTTTAAAAAAGAAATATTTCTAAAGTGGTATTTTAAAATAAAGAAAAAATGTTAATTCTATTTCTAAACTCTAAAGTAAAAAAATAAATTAAATACACTTATCTCACAAAATTCCAAAAAGTTTAAAATACTTTAAAAAAGATAAATTTTTAAGGCGATGTCCTAAAAAAAAGAGAAGATTCCATTTTTAAATGCTAAAGTAAAAAATACCTAACTCTGTACTTACCTCGCAAAATTCTAAGAAGTCCAAAATGCTTTAAAAAAGAAATACCTCTAAGGCAGCATTCTAAAAAATAAGAGAAAAGAAACATTGATTCTATTTTTAAACTTTAAAGTAAAAAAATCCAGCCTTTACCTTGTAAAAGTCTAAAAAGTTAAAAGAAATATTAGTATGTTCTTTAAATTAATATCAAAAAAACCTTTTGACAAATGAGTTATAAAGTCATTTCTAAGATTAAAGTCTGTTTCCTATATAATAAAAAAAAAAGAAACGTTTAATACATTCTTTTAAGTTAAATGTTAAAAAAATAATTTTTAATAAATTTATAATAAGACTAAGTCTGTTAAAAAAAATAAATTAGAATTTTTTATATGATTAAATCTGATCTATTAATCAAAATTTATGATAATAGCAGATTATTATCAAAAGCTATCATTTTTAAATTTAAAAATATTTTTTCAAATTGATTTTTAACAGACAACCCACTTTAAAGTTAGAATTGTAATTTTAGAATAATGTAGCTGTAGAAATAGTTAACTTTCTTTTTAGCGAAAAAGTGAAAGGTATTTAATTTCTTAATTCTTTTTTTATTTTAATTTTGAAAATTTAAAAACACATGTTTTGTTTTTTTTTTTTTTTTATATGTGCATATATATAAATTTATTTTAATATATATATATATTTTTAGATTATAAATGAAAGAAAATTAAGAGAATAAAGTAATTTAATTAAAAGTTGAAGAATGTATTATTAAAATAAAATAGTACTAATATTTTATTTCTTTTTTTTTGTAAAATAGATTTTGATGTTCTTGAAATAATCTTTTGATAGGTGATTAAAGATATAAAATAGAAATATTTTTTTTATTATAAAAATAATACTAATATTTTATTCCTTTTTTTATAAATTAGATTTAAAGCTTTCTGAAACGGTTCTTTGATAATTTATAAAAAACAAATAAAGAGATTTTTTTTGCTATAAGAATGATATTAATATTTTTATTCCTTTATTATAGATTACTGTATAACACTACCTAAAAGATCCTCTTTTCTACATACCCTATGATAATATACCCAAGTATTTTATTATCAAGACCCGGGTATAATACAATTTTAAATGAGGTAAATTAATATAGATCCAGGTATTTTATCATTTATATTACCATACTTGATTTAACCAATAATAGCTAAAATTAACTTTATTATTAAATCTTGTATTAATTAATTTAACCAATAATTGATAATTGATAAATATATTACTTATTTAACCAATAAATTATGTTTTACTAATAAAAATAAATTTTTATACGATAATATACACATTTCAGTAAAAAACTTTTCTACTATAAGATACTTTATTATATAATATTCTATTATCATAACAGTATATATAAAACTTATAGCTTAACTCTAATCTTGAAATACAGTATGTTATTCATTTTCTTTATAATAGTTTTCTTCAGATTTACTTCTATTATTATCTCTTAACTCACTTTCATTACTATCCTCTGATTCACTTTCATTACTTTCTTCTGATTCACTTTCATCATAATCTGAATCATTTTCATCACTGTTTTCTGTATTATTTTTATTTCTTTCATCTTCAACTTTCCTTCTGAGATTTTTTCTATTTACCTTATTTTTTAATCTATTAATATCAAAAATTAAAGCATCCTCTGTACCATCTGTAGCATTTGAAATGTCACAATACTTGAATGACCGCCTAATCATATTTATATCAATAGCATCCTAGTCTTTTTTTATCCATTTGACTATGAGTAAGTAGGATGGTCTTTTAATTTTTTCTGATGAGATATAGTCTTTAATAGCTTCACACATCCAATTATTATAAAGATTTCGTATCTAATTTTAAAAATTAAAGGTTAATTTAATAAATTATTTAATTATTTAACTAGTTACAGTAAATTAATTACTTTTGATTTAAAAAATCTATTCAGTAACATATCAAGTAGTTGTAAGCGAGATGTTAGGCCATCTGGAATAACTGCCAAATTAGTTCTTTTTTTACAAAATCGTTGCTTTATCATATTAGTTTTGTGTGTAGTAAAAGAATCCAGTACTAAAAGTGACCTTGGGTTGTTACCTCGATTTGCACATTTTGTCTAAACATTTTTTACCTACCAGATTATCTCGTTTTCATTCATCCAGCTTTCAGGATTAGTACGAATTATCACACCATTGGGAAATTCTTCTTACAGAACTTTCTTGAGTTTAAAGATGATAACTGGTGGTAGTTTCGTCCTATCAGCCATGCATGTTAAGACGACTGTGAAATTTGAACATTTATGTCCAGTTGATAGAATTGAAATAGTTTTGATACTAAATTGCTCAATTGTTGTGTTACTTGGTAGGTTGAATGCCATTGGTGTTTCATCCATGTTTTCTATTAAAAATAATGAATAATCATACTCTTTTCTACAGTATAGAATATATAAAAGGAACTTATATTATTGTTTAATATAATTTTTTGAAAGTCGTTAAGCAACTGTTGTCCTCCTTCTATTAATCAATTTATATTGAAACATAAAGCTATTAACTTATTTTTGAGAAAATTTTGCATTTCTATATCCAGATATTCAGCTTAGTATGATGTTTTTTAGCTAAAAAACGTGCCTTGATTTGAATCATAAAATAAGTTCACATTTTTAATTGTTTCTGAGATTCTTAAACCATTCTGCAAGTTTATTTTCAAGGTGAGGATATTTTAGACGTAAATCAGTATTTAATCTCTGAGTGTAAGGAGCTGCGTTTAAAAGTTTTTTTATTTTTAATTTATTCGTGAAATTGTTTTGGCTTGATACTATATTTATTTGCTGTTGAATATTTGCTGTAGCCATTTTCATGATACATAATTACTATTAGCTTCTCTTTTGCTAACTAGTGCCTATTCTTTCTTTCTGTAATTCTAGCACGACGAGCTCTGAAATTTTCACAAACCATCTTATTATTATAAGTTTTTTAAGATACTCTGAAATTTTTTTAGTGCAGTAAAAGATAATTATTGAAGAGTAAAAAATGTGACAAGGTGATTGAAAAAATAATTTTAAGCGTATTTACGTGTAATTTTATACATTATTTTTCTCAATAAAAATAGCTAATTAAAGCATTTATTCTTTCAAATATTTTTAATTCAGTTATTAACAAATGCGATATTATAATAAAAAAAGAATTTTAAATGCTATTTATAGTTCTGATAAATTCGTTATAAAATGAGAAAAAATCTGAGAATTTCATCAAAAATATGATATCAGTGGATTCAAACTGATATGAGGGTAAATGTAAAATTAATTTAAAAAATGATAAAATTTACATGTTTTTTTAATTTTATAGTTTGTTATAATAAAAAAGAAAGTTTTAAAACTTAGCAAATTTTATTATAAAATAAACATTGACGAATTTGAATTAACATAAAAGTGATTAAATTTTTTAATTTTATCATTTTTTTTGAGATTGGCTGTATACAGTTTTATATTCCAATATGATATAATATTCCTGTAATAAAATACCTCCTACCAAATATACCTTGCATCTCATAAAATACCCACAAATATGATTCAATTTTAAAATCGTTAAAATTAATACAGACCTGGTGTACCTTAGGTAGTGCTATACGGTACTTGTAAAACTCTAAGAAAATCACAGAATAATTGCGAAACTTTTTAAAAAATCATAAATTACTTGTGAAATTCTAAAGAAAATCGCAAAATATTTGCAAAACTCTAAGAGAATTACAAATTACTTGCGAAATTCTAAGAAAAATCGCAGAATAATTGCGAAATTCTAAGAATCACAAATTACTTGTGAAACTCCAAAGGAAATTACAAAGTAATTGCAAAACTCTAAAAGAATCGCAAATTACTTACAAAATTTTAAGGAAAATTGCAAAGTAATTGCAAAACTCTAAGAGAATCACAAGTTACTTGTAAAATTTTAAGAGAATCGCAGAATAATTATAAAACTCTTTAAAGAATTGCAAATTACTTGCAAAACTCTAAAAGGAATTGCAAAGTAATTGCGAAACTCTAAGAAAATTGCAAATTATTTATAAAATTCTAAAGGAAATCGTAAAATATTTACGAAACTCTAAAAAAATTGCAAATTACTGTAAAATTTTAAGGAAAATCGCAAAGTAATTTCAAAACTCTAAGAGAATTACAAATTACTTGTGAAATTTCAAAGGAAATTGCAAAGTAATTATGAAACTCTAAGAGAATCGCAAATTACTTGCAAAACTCTAAAGGAAATCGCAAAGTAATTGCGAAACTCTAAGAGAATCGCAAATTACTTGCGAAACTCCAAGAGAATTGCAAAATAATTGCAAAACTCTTTAGAGAGAATTACACATTAGGTTCTTTTCGAAATTTAAATATATTAAACTGAACTTTCAAATTAATCTGAAATTTTCAGTTCAGTTCAGATTTTTATCAGTTTATAGTTTAATTTAATTTCAAATTAGCCTATAATCTAGATTGAATTGAACTGTTCAAAGCATTAATCATACTTAAGAAATAATATAATCATTCCAATCAGATGTTAATCAGCTATAAATAAGATAGGTTAAATTTTGGCTGATTCTTGATTGATATCTAATGTATGTCAATCAGCTAGGCTAATTTTTGATAATTTGCTAAATTTAGACTGATTTTAGACTAATTTTAGGCTGATTTTTGCATATTCAATTTTTTTGATTTTGACTAGTGACAGCATATTTAATATATATTCAAATAATTTATTAACAAATTGAATTGTTATATTAATACTAAAATTTAAAAATATAAATATATCTTTATTTTAATTTAAAAATATTTGAATAAAAAAATATAAACAAAATACTAATTTACTTTAAATCTGAAATATTATTAAAGAAGATGAGTTATCTAATACTAGTTCAAATATATAATTTACTTTAGCTGAAAAAATAATAAAAAATATTTTTAATAATAAACTTATATTTACTGAACTAGACTATATAATAATTTAAATATATTTATAAAAAGAAAAAGATATAGGCAGGTAAAATTTAAATATTTAGAAGAGTTTATTAATTTTTTTGTAATTTTAGTTAGTTTACTATCAGGTTTTAGATTTTTTGATAAAATTTAAAAGAATAAATATTCAAAATATTAAGTATATATTTTAATAAATTTAAATCAATTAACTTTTATTAATATATTTAATTTTATTTAAATAATAAAAACAACTTAGAAAAAATGAAATTAATTGTTTTTATTCAGAATATTATTATTAGAATATTATAATATTTAAATTATTGTTAGATACTTTATATTATGAAAGTTTTATTATTGTAATAACTAACAATACTAAATTAAACCTTGGACTTCATTATTTGTTACAATTTAGCTGTATTATTAGATTAATATTAAGTAATAATAAAATAAAGATTACTGATTATTTTCAAATTTCTTAATGATTAATAAAATTAAGAATTAAAAAATACTTACAAATAGTATTTGAATATATATTATCTGCAATTGTTGATTTTCATTAAAAACTTTTAATAAATATTACATCTTAATTGAATTTTTCATCAAAAACTTTTAATAAATATTACATTTCATTGAATTTGTATGGTTTAAGTATTAGTTTTAATGGTATACTAGTTAAATATCAAGTTTAAATAATAATTTAAAGTAGTGATAACAAATGAAAGATTGCAAATAATAATACAAATTTTAAAGTAATATTTAGTTGTCTAATTTTACCATTAATTAGATCTGTTATAAGAGTTCAAGATCTAAAATATAATAAAAAATATGTTAAAATGTAATTATGTCTGATATAAGAATTTTATTACTTAGAAGATCAACTACATAGTTTGATCATTTTATATATTTTTTTTTAATGTTTGGATTCTATAATATATAAATAAGATATTATAAAACTTGATTATCAGGATGATGATGCTATATATAAAGCTTTTTACTTATCAAATTAAAAAATGTATATTTATAACATTTAGAAAATCCAAAAGATGAGGAAATATGTGATTTTTTTGTTTTATTATTTATTTTAGTAAATTTTTATTGTTTTATATTAACTCACAATTATATTTTAATTTAAAATTATTTAATTATTAAGGTGAACTAATTGATTGTTATCTTAATTGACAAATCTGATTATTAGAATATATTAAAATAGTTATAACATTATTTTTCCTTTATTTTTAACATCAACAATAATCTAATTTATCAAAAACTTATTCTGATTTTATTAGTTTAAAAAGAATTTTTATCTGATCAAAGTTATTCTATTCTTATATTACTAGCAAAATCAATGGTTTTTTTTAATAAAAGCTCACTATAAATATTATCTATTATAATGCCGATTTTATAAAAATTTTAAATTGTCGTTCACGTGAAAGTAGATAAATTTCATTGGCTGTTAATGTTGAAATTGAACCAATAAACGGATTTTTAACCATGCTTGCCTGATATAGCTTTAATTTTTAGCATTGACGCGTCAAATAATTCTTTTATCCCTTCGTCTGTAGACTTTCACATGCTATTATGTTTATGCAGGCAAATTTGCCTGCATTACAGACGAAGGAATATTTACCATACGCGTTATTTTTCTCTATACCTGCTTTTACGATTCTTGCAAACATTTTTAAAACAACTACCTTCGGACACAACTATGAAAGTAGAAAGTCTACTCAACAAGTTTTTCATCCAAAACGCGGACAGAAACCAGGCTATAAACGTTAATTCTCATCGTTAAGCGCTGACGAAAGATACAACTGCTCAAATTCTATTATTTCAATCACGGTCGTAAACGAAGGCCGTCACTACCGAAAATAATATTGAAAAGGTTGCATCCAAATACCTTGGTAAGTTTTTATTCTTTGACCTTGCAATCTTTCACTTGTACTTTCACCAAGTGACAATTTCTCTAATAATCTTGGCTTTCAGAACTTATCTCCTACTTAAAAGAACGAAAAAATCATATGGGAGGTTCGCTATTAAAATCATATGATCCGTAACGTGATTTTAATAGCTTACCTCCCATATTGCGGATTTTTGGTCCTTCACCGCAAGGTCATTATTACTTATTTATTTTCGAATGATTGAAATGACCTCAACAGATGAAAGGAGTTAATTAAGGAATGCGAAAAAGAAAATCTACCAGCACCCACCGGTAAGTCTTTAATTACTTATTAATAATAAATCACCAAACAACTACATAAACAACATTTCTAATGTGAATTACACTGCTTTTTTCTCGTTTATTTTATTAATTTACGCTTAATAACCATTAGTGCTTACGAAAAAAAAGGAAGAAACAAGATCAATCGAAGAAAACTGAATTGGAGTTTCTATCAACAATACCTCCAACTATATTTTATCCTGATCTTGAAAAAAGTACCAGCACCACGAAATCAAGTACTGCTCGTACTTCACTTCCAGTCAAGTGTTGGGCTTTATTTTTTTGAAGAGGTCAAAGCTTATCACTTTGATGACTGTATCCAATGTTATCGCGACCAACGTTTAAGATCTACGATAAAAGTTATGTCATATCAAACGAAGACGACGTTAGAGGAGCGTTAAAGAATAATTTACTTGACAACCTCAATATAATTACGGCATCACGAAAACCAATAGAGGTATTCAAGAGGATTTCAAAGGAAGATAAAGTTGCCAGAGAACCCGATTTCATCTCATAGGAGGACTTTTATGTGATTGGCCGACCACATTACATGAATTTTATAATTGATATGTAAATTTTAGACTCCGGGTTTAGGTTATTATCCTGACCCCATGTATAAATAAATTTTTTTTAAAGTACTTATCACATAATATGTACAGTTGTCGGTCTAGGATAAGAGCCTGAACCCGGGATACATTTTAAGGACGCTCATATTGTAATTATTTATATATAACATGTAATTATTTATATATCACATAACAATATAATAAAAAAATAAAAAATATAGCTTGAATGATAATTTATTCCGGATTCCACAAAGGAAGTAGCATGTAATATGAGTGTTTTTTCACTCGTATCTGTGAATTTTTATTTTTTGATAGTGGGTTAGATGAAAAGTGCAATTCGTCGAAAAAAACTTTAATTTCACATCCTCTTCTTCCATAGCTGCCCGAAATTCGTCAAACAAATATATTGTCGGCTTTTTTTGCTTTATTTCACGAACATACAAATATTTGTTATCACTTGGAAAGGATAAAATTCTTTTGCTTTCGGAGCCGAAAATAAAATTTTTAATCTTATTTATTAGTAGATTATCGAAATCTCCTATGAGATTTCATCTTTAAACGAGTCGGTAAACGAACCCTTCTAGCATAACTACTATATAATTTTCAGGAAAGACGAGATGGCAGTTCTACATTCATTTAATCACCACAGCGACCTAGCAGAGATCCTGAAATGTTATTACATATTTCTGGGCAAACCAGGAAATTACAACTAGGTTATCAATTCAATCTAATGTGATGAGTGAACAATCGTCAAGAACAACGACAAATTTCGTTCCTCATAAGTCGTGGTATTATTCCTATATTATCAAAGTTCAGTTACGAATACAAATGCAAACAATAATAATTGCAGTCATTAATCTGCTTTGATCTGAATCATTGCATATTACTGGAACCAGAGACAAATTTCAAGTATTGTACCGGTAATTGTTAACCATGGAGAAGATACTACTAACATAAGGTATAATCCAACTAGAAATCTTGGATTTAGTAGACAATACATAGCATCAAAATTACCATCTGTCGGTGAAGTAACGGGATTTTATAAACCTCGATAAATTTACTTGATCCAGAATCGGGTGTAACGTTAATCGACAAATTCAAAATTAGAATTTCTTGGAAAAAGAGACAACCCGGCAGTTTATAATACCAGAGAATAAAGCGTGGATCTATCAATAGGACAGAAAATAGGTCGCGAGTCTCTAATAGTATACTTCGAGAATTTCCATTGCTTATTTATGTAGCGGTGATTTGTCGATAAAATTTCGTGGCAAACGGACGTGTCCTTCATGTGGTGTAATATGATACATCGTAATTATATATGGATATACTAGGAAACGGAAACCGTTGTAAAGTCCGGAGTTTTTTATTTCATATAAATATGCGGATACAAAATCAACCAATCAGTACTTTTTGTTCGGATTCTATGAACAACATCTTGTATTATATGTTAACTTTTTAAAAAAAAAAAAAAAATAAGCAAGAAATAGAAATAAAGATCAGGTGTAATAATCATTTTAAAAAATTTATTAAATTTTTTCAATATAAAATGTATAGGCATTATTATATTAAATTAAAAAAAATTTTTAAAAAATTAATATAATTTAAAAAGAATTAATAAATAATCTTAAAATTTTAAAAGATTATTTAAAATTATTTAAATAATTTAATGATTTATAGTATTAAAATATAAAATATAATTATTATTTATAATTACTATTTATAAATAAGAAAATATTTATAAAAAATTTATAAAATACCAAAATAATTTATTATTTTATAAATTAGTAAAATTTTATTATTCTTTATTTAATAAAATAATTATTAATCAAAATATTAACTTATAATTATTTGAGCTTGTTTTTACTTAACAAAATTTTCAATTAAATTTTTAAATTAATTAATCATTTGAATTTCTTTACTAAAATAAAAATGTATATATAGTATTTAAGCTTTTAAAATTATGTTAATGCTAATAATTATTACTTTAATATTATTAATTATTTTTATAAACTCTATAATATTCTTAAAATTTTATATATAATTAATTTTTTAGTTATATTTAAAAATATTTACTTTTATTAAATTAAAAAAATTTAAGAATTTTTAGTATTCTAAAAATTTTATTAAGTATAAAATTATCAGCATTAAATTTAATATAATTATCAATTTTTATATTTTCAAGTTTAATATCATTAACAGATTTAATATCATTAATTTTAATATAATCTTTAATTTTAATATTATCAAAACTATTAATATTAAAATAAATCTTAATAATTATAAATCATTTCTTTTATAATTTATTTTAGCTTTGAATAATTTATTAAATCATTTATAAGATATTTATCTTTAAATCTTTATATTGCTATTATAAAAATATAAATCTATAAATAATTTCAATGTAAATGGAAAAATTAAGTTTGCATAAATAATTGCCTAAAAATGATGATTAAACAAGAAGATTTATTTAAAGAAACCATTTTAACAGATATTCATATTATACATTTTAATATATTTAGTTTGTCCCGTGACACTAGTGACAGAACTGCGCACGGTGAATTATAGTAATACAAATTAGGAATCACTATTAAATATTATTTTTTATTGCCTGATGATTTTTTCACACACTTCAAGCAACATATTGAACCGACATAATATACCCAAACTTCCTGAAGCCTTTTCTAATGAAACTTTTCCTTTTGTTAAATCTTTCTGAGCTGAAGCATTGGATGATGAAAGTGAAATATCACTACAACGAGATGTAACGGATACTAACAAGCCCTTAAAGCCATCCTATATAAGTAAAAATTATTTAATTATTTATATTAAAGAAATAAAAATAATCAAGGAGGATTCACATACCAATATTTCTTCTTCATCTTGCATATTTTCTTCAGCATCAGCAGCCTCACGTAATGTCTCAAGATCCGTGAGGAAGTTATGCGCTTGTTCAAGTTTCTAATTAATTTAATAAATAAAGTATTAAATAATATAATTCCATCCAATTTGATTTTTATTTGACAAACCTTTCTGTCTTGTTCTTCCTTTGCAAAAGTTCTTCTTTCATTAGCCAATTCTTTACAAACGCTATCACGTTCACGCTGAATATCCAATAATTCTTTTCTCAAATGATTAATTCGCAATTTGGATTTCCTTAAAGATGATTGCAGCTTTATTTGTTCATTAACAAGTTCGGACTAAATAATAAAAATAAAATAAAGATGTAAAAAGATACGATATAAACTATATAAATTGTAAAAATATGATAATATTATCAAACCTGCTCAAGCAAATGTAATTCGATTTCTTTATTTAAGTGTTGAATTTCTTTCTTAAATGATTTATTACCCAGCTCGATCCTAAAAATCACACAAGGATATGCTTAAGATTATTATAACAAAATTCATAAAATAAAAAAAATCTACTTACAAAAATTCTTTGATGATATCATTGATAGCGTCACCAATTTCACCTTGCACAAGATCACGATTATTTGTTGTTAATGTTGTATCTATTCATAAAACGATACAATAAAATCACATAAATGCAATAACTGTTTAATTCAATAATTCAATAAAATTTTACCAATCTGCACATCATCATCATCTTCGTCGTCATTCTCTATCGTCGAATATGTTCCTATACGTAAATATGATATAAAGTTTAAATGACAAGTTCAACATATAGATTTGACGAATTAATAGAATCTTACCTATTTGCTCATTATTGTCATCATATTTTCTCTTCGAAGACACAATTATGACAGGTGTTGCATCTGTTCATAAAACAATAATTCTCAATAAATTCAACACGTAAACACAAATTTGACATAAATCAATAAATCTTACCTATTTGTTCATCGTCGTCATCGTAATCATTCTCTAAAGAAATGAATTTGAAGTTCCACCAACATTAGTTGATGATGTTACATAGATGCACAAGTACAATCATTATCAAATAAATTAATTCTAAAGTATTACTCACCGTCGTCATTTTCATCGTTCTCTGAAGACACAATTTCGACGGGTTTATCAGTATAATTTCTTGGTGTTGAATCTATAAACGATACAAAGCCCAATGAAGAATCCAACATTTAAGTTAAATTAAGAGTAAATATTAATTCTTACCTATTCGCTCTTCATCGTCGTCATTCTCTGAAGACACAATTTCGATGGTTTTACCTATATTAGTTGTTGGTGCTACCTCTATTCGTAAAAATGATACAAAAGCTTAATGGAAAAGTTCAATACGTAAATGATTAAATCAATTAAAAATCTTACCTAATTGCCCATGGTCATCATCATTATCGTCGTCATTAACATATATATTTGAAGAATTAACTTCAACAATTTTACCAACATCAAGAGTATCAATATCCATCGAGCCTGAAGTACTAGTAAGTGAAGGACTAGTAGGTAAATGATTATTTGGAACCTGTGATATATCTAATCATGAAACATAATGAAAAAATTCGATATAAATGCAATTATTATTGTATCAATTTAATTCAATAAAAATCTTACCTATATGCTCGTCGTTGTCATCAATATATTTATTTGAAGACACGATTTCAACAATTTTACCAACATTAAGAGTATCAATATCCATTGTTGAACCTGAAGGACTAATAGGTGAATTGATGGATGCATGTGTAAGATCCCATTTATTTGAAATTTTAGTTATCGGTGTTGAATCTTCTATTCATAATATAATACAAATCTTAATGACAACTTAACAAATAAATGCAATCATAATGAAATTAAAAAATCTTGCCTATTTGCTCGTCATCTTCGTCTTCTATATCATTGCTAGTGTTACCAACTTTAGGGGGTAAGGTTATTTTAAAATTTCTAAAAGTTGTCCTACGAGTTCTATAACATAAAGTAGTATTAAAACCTTGTCAAAATTCTTCAGGTCAAAATAAAGACAAAAGACAAACCCATGAGTCCTCCTCCTTTCGAGCATACGCTCTTTATATTTTTCAGGAAGATTAGCAAGATCTAAGCCTAATAAATATGAATATTAAGTTTAAAAGTTTCTTTTATTTAAAATGTATTTGAAAATTTCTAAACTTTACTTTGAGACATTGCTTGGGAAGGAATTCGACATGAAAAAAAATGTAATGACATCACGCGTTATTTTTATTTTTTATACTGTGGCTAACGACGAAGTCACACATAAGATCACGTGGCGATATCCGGTTGTCCGCACGCGTGATTTTTGATTGGTTGATTTCAAACGTTGAACCGAGATATATTCAAATAACGAAGAACATAATACAAAGAAAATTAAATTCTCAAACGCACAGATTCCTATTCACGAACAAACCTCAACAGAATTGAAAGCGTGTCAAAAAAAAAAACAGAGGACGAAAACGAACGAAAAAATTGTTCTCGAAAATAAGAACAACAAAAATAAAGGTAAGTAAGGGTCTCACTACAGTAGTCATGTATAAGAGATGAATCGTTTTGCTGTTAGGCAGCCTCACTACGGGAGTCTTGGACGAATCGTGGTTATAATTCTCATATGGTTTTCTTAGTAAACGTCTTTTTACCTGGTTGCATTGTATCTATTTATACATGCTTCTGGTGTCTTAGGAATACCTGGCCAGTTGTGAGATACTTTGAGAGTACTGATAATTAAACATTGAAACAGTTTATTCCTGCGGTCCCTGTTTATAATTTAGTTGTGATCTCTCGTTTCTACGGAAGCTTTATGTTCAAGGGTAGTCGAAATCATACCTAGTTATATTCATACGAATGAGAACTTATATGAATGCGTGAGGTGGCACTCATTTGAATCATTCCCCTTCACTTACTGAGTAATTTATTTTGCTCACCAACTTTTCTTTTTTTAATAGGTTCAAAATTCTCTATAAGGGAATTTTAACTGCGGTTTTATCTAAATTATTTTTTAATTTAGTCCAGAACACCCTACGCATTCCTCGACTGAAAGAAGAAACAACATGCACATTTATTTACAAACGCCGCAATTTTCAAAAAATATTTTTCAAAATGAGCAATAACAACGAAACAGTTGTTATTAATGTTCTCATTTTGCAAATAGCGATGAGGATATGGTTGAGCTCAACTTATAATTTATAATTTTATTTGAAAATGAATTAATTTAATTAAAAATGAAACGCATATGTACTCGCATATTCATAAAAAATTTTTTCAAAATGAGCAATAACAACGAAATAGTTGTTATTAATGTTCTCATTTTGCAAATAGCGATGAGGATATGGTTGAGCTTAACTTATAATTTATAATTTTATTTGAAAATGAATTAATTTAATTAAAAATGAAACGTATATGTACTCGCACAAAATGTGCGCCTTATTTTTTATTGAAAAAATTTTAATAAAATTTTTTAAAATGATTATTACACCTGATCTTTATTTCTATTTTTTTTTTTACAAAAAGAACTGATTGTTGATTTTGTATCCGCATATTTATATGAAATAAAAAAACTCCGGACTTTACAACGGTTTCCGTTTCCTAGTAATATATTATTTAATAGATAAAAAAAGTAACTGTTTCGAAATAAGACCTTTTAATTCTTTCCTCTCCTGTTAACATCAAATTTCTTTTTCTTTCTACCGCTTACTTTCTTTTTATCATCATAATCATCACTATTCTCAGCAGCTTCTCTTTGTTGCTTTTCTAATTCCAAAGTTTCTTTTCTAGCAATAATAATAGTTTTAGGTTTTTTAGATAAGATTTCATCATTATCATTTTTGCTTTTTCCCTGTTGATAACCTAAAGTTCTCCTATGTTCATAACCAGGATATTGATTTGGAATAAAATCAATAGATTCTTTTATAGCCAAATGACCCGTAGATTTAGCTAATTGTTTAACATTCCATTGATTATATGGTTCAACCGTTTTCATTGTTACGTGTATTTCACCATCATTCATGTCCGAATAAAGTGATTTTGATGATAAAAATGGTATTGCCGAATTAAAAAATGCTTTTAATAATTTTTGATTCGATAAAATATTTCTGTCTTGATCTTTAATACCCAATCCTATTTTTTTTTTTTTTTAACAAAAAAAAAAAAAATTAAAATTCAATGAAATTTTATTTGTTTTAATAAAAATTATAGGAAATAGTTTTTAAATTACCTGCATGAGGAAAATTAAATATGATTTTATCAAATCTTTTACCTTTTAATAATTTACATTTTTCCAGTTGAGTGGCATCAACTTCATAAATTACTTTCCCACCGTACTCAATAAATGATTGTATATGTAATTTTGCATCATCATATTTTTTATTTAAAATTTCCTCCGAATCCAAACATGTTGCTATGATAAAATGACTTGTATGAAGAATATTTGTTGCCAATGAATTTGCGAAACTAAAATTTCCTATATATTTAATCAATTATTTTTTTTTTTTTTAAAAAAAAAAAAGGTTGGTGAAAAACAAAAAAGGAAGGAAACATTTTATCAATCATACCTTCTCCTACTAACAATATTTTATCCTCGGGATTATAAGGTGGTGTAGGTGGTGGTTTAACAAAAGTAGACTTGTGCTTATCTTTCGGTTTTGGGTACGGGTGTGAAGGTAAAAAATTTATTTTATCCCGATATTGTTTCTCTTGTTGAAGTTTTATCAATGAAGCTTTTAATTTAGGCTTAACCTTTGGCATAATTACAGGATCGATCAATGTTTTCTTTTTGATCTCAATAATTCCTGCTATTGGGTCAATTGGTCAATCATTTGACAGTTTTCCTACCAGGGACGGCTTTAAGCCGGAAGCCGCAGTTTTGCCAGAAATGCGGAAATCGCAGATCTTCAGATCTTCAGATTCTCGCAGAATTTAGTAGATCGTGTGTCATATTATATTGTGTCTAGTTGTAGTGTAGAAAGAAGTTTCTCAATTTATAATAATAATTTAGATAATAATCGTCAAAATCTTTCAGAAGATTCTTTAAATATGATGTATTTAATGGCTATTAATTTTTTTTTTTTTTGGTATAAAAATTTATTTTTGATTTAGCAGCAGAAATGACGATTATAAGCCGCAGAAAGTAGGGCAGATTTTAAAATAAACGACGTCGTTCTGCAGCCGATCGTTGCTACACAAGAACGTAATTACGTGGAAGTAATTTCACATTTATTTCTCAATCGTAAATTTTAACTTTAATGAAATAATTTATAATAATGATATAAGCCCATGGTGGTTATTTGGGTAAAATTTCTCATTGTTGAGAACTTTTGATTTCCTTTATGGTTTTATCAATTTTAACCTTAAGTTCGGGACTAATATTATCATATGTACGTGGTAGAGCTGGCCATTCAATTGCAACACGCTTCTTAATGGTGTCAAAGTCTTCCCATTCACATATTTTACCATGATCATAAACAACTTTTAATAAATTGTCTGGATCATTTTCTGGAAAACTTTCTTTAGGATAAACGATTGGAACCTAAAGAAAAATATCACGTGTTTAATAATATAGGCATAATGTTTTTCTTAATATGAATATATAAATACTAACTCCTTGCTTATTCTTTTTAACGACAAATTCGCCCGGCAAACTAATTTTTTCAGAGTCGGACTTCGGTGTTTTCATAATGTCCCTGTTTAATTTAAAATATTAAAGATACGTAAAACTTTAATTTCTTCAAAAATTTTGTTATTATACCTCTTATGTCCATCAGCGTAGGTAATATGACAAAGTTTGGTGGCAAAACTCATAGTGTCCCGATTAAGTTTTTGTAATAAACCACCTCCCATTCCAAATGTAACGTTTTGAGCGGAATAACCGGCTTCTCTCGTTGCATCCAGAATATCCTTTATAGCTTTGATAGACACACCATCACCTTGGAGGACACCAGCCCCACGTAATACTTTATACCCTTTGCCATTAACGTCACTACCAAATACTTTATCTGCGGCCCTATTAATAAAATCATATAAGAATAGATGACTTTATCAATATCTTTCCTATAATTATATTTACCTTAGACCCTTTAATACACTATCGACTGGATCACCGCTATCGGGTCTTAATACCATAAATCCACCCGCTTCAACTTTTTGTTTAGCAATTGACGGAAGAATTTTTTCCAACGCATTGACATAATCAAAAGAATCCAATACGCATGCAAAAACTCCAGTGCCAAACTTTTTAATTTCCTGTAAAATCGCGTCCTTTTCATTTTTTTTTTTTTTTTTTTTTTTTGTAAAAATGTCGTGAGATTGATCATAACCAGAAACATGTTAAGTAAAAAATATATGTGTTACAACATACTCTTTCTGTTTTGTGAGCTATCATGACCGAGTGTTCGGTCGCTGGAACTGAAGTCGCAATAGGCTTGCCATTATTCAGAGTGAACTGAGCATAATAAGCAGCACTCATGGTATCTGTTCCACAGAAATTCAACTAAATTATATAAGGAAGATTCATTATGTATTATCATAGTAAAGAAGAAACATTATTATAGAAGAAATTATTCTTTTCGTATGCAAACCAAATGAGCTACACCGCCAATAATCGATTGCTCAATACAAGTACATCCTCGAAATCCAAAATCATGCAGTCGACTAAATCATAAATATTTAATGATTTTAAAATATGCCATGTTAGACAATTATAAAAAAATTCGACATAATATGCACCTATCCACTGTCGTATTTCCAGCATCAACGACCGTTTTTTGATAAGCATCCTCGGAGAGATCACGTGCACGACGCGAAAGTGTTGCAACTGTTGTTGGATACTTAACAAAGGAATTGTACAAGACCATTATTAAAATTCTGATGTCTTTTTATTTTTAGATTATAAACATATTCAAATAAAAATTTACCCAAATCATAGTAATTATAGTTTCCAAATATGTAACTAATGGCGCATATTCGTTCTCTGCCGTGATTTGGTAAACCGGAGTATGTACATGACACGAGGTACCTTCTGGTAAAGCTTCAATCTTTATTGGAAAATATCCATCGTTCTCTTCGATAAACTAAGATTTTTTAAATAATTGTCAGATTGTGATTCAAAATTATAAAGTTAACATGTTAAATAATATTACCTTTATAAACAAATCTTTTGGAAACGGAAAAGGCGTAAATCCTGCATTATGAGTTGCAAAAAATTTTTCTGACAACTCGACATCTTTCTTTGTCCATTTGATCGCAATATAATTTTCAATTCTTTATTTTTTGATTTACAAAATTCATTCAAATTTAAAAATTTTAGTAAATAAAAATTATAATATAAAATATGATAAATTTACATGTATCGGATTCCAAAGAATAAAATACGCGTATCTTCTTTATCACCATCATATCCTTTCCTAAACTCGCCATATGCAATACACTAAAGAGATTTTTATTTATTTATTTGAATTCGCACATTTCTTTACTACAAATATTTCTAGAAAAAATTATTAAAAACCTTTTTAGCCTCAGGTATCATAAACGAGTGAGACGGTTTATACGAATCAGTCATAACCAAAAGTGGAATACCAAGAAAGCCAGACATTGTGAAAGTATTTACTCTGAAAATTTCTAACGGTTGAACCGTTCAATTTATAAAGATTTCGTTGTGGGAATAATAAAAAAAAGGGTTAAATTAATTCCTTCCCGAAATGACCAACTGATTACTATATTCGATTGGACGATTATCAATGATAACCAGATAACCACACATTCGGATATTCATTTCTTTAATAACTTTGGCATTTTGATTAAATAATACCAATTTCGAGTCACTATCATACAAATCCGCAAAAATAATCAACTAAAAAAAAAATTAATGGTTAATTTCAAGATTTACGGAACAGCCGATAATATCCAAAACTTTTCTGAAAGATATCTACACCTTTTATGCTATACAAGGGAACACTGATACGTTAGTAGCATTATTTTTAAAATTAAAAAAATTAAATCGAATGATCATTATCCAATTCGGACCTCTATATATCATTTAAAAAATGAAATTTACGTGTAACAAATGGGACTTGCAAATTCTGTTGTCTTTAATTTCAAACAGGTTTTCATTTCTTAAAATTTCGTGCCAATAGTCGTTTGTTTATATTTGAAATTCTCATGATCTTGGGAACTCTTAGCCACATCAAAATTATTGTATTTCGTTTATAATAATAGGTAAAGTCTGATACAATTTTTGATATCAAGAAAAAGTAGAAAGACAGCAACACGAATTAGATATTTGAAAATTTAAATATTATTATCTAGTATATTTATTATTCTTATATTTAAATATTATAATATGCATTAATAGCTATAGTTAAGGAAACTCATTTTGGATTTGGCAAAACGTCTAAACTATAGTCTCGCTAATTTTACTAGTTTAGCATTTTTATAAGCTTTGATATAGTTTACCTTTTCCAGATTTTTAATAATGTTTTAATATAATTTCGTTAAATTTACCTTTTTCCATCTACCGATAGATTTGCTACAGCAATAATGGATTGCTTTGCCTATAGACGACTTGCAAAACCTCTAGGTTTCGTCCAGCAACCTTAGCTATTGTAAAGTAATTTTATATAAATATAATAACTGTTTGCTTGAATTAAATTACTATTTTAATTATATTATTAATATAATGATATAATATTAAAAAAAATTAAATTAAATAAAATAATAAATTTTAATTGTTTTAAAATATATAAATAATATAATAATATATATCGTTACTTTTAATAATTAATCTTTAAAAGATGTAAAATTAAAATTATTAATGTAAAGCAGATTTTTTTAAAAAAATTCTTTATGTTTTGAGAATTAAAATTATTATTATAATACTTGTATACATTTTAAATAAAAATAAAATACTAAATACTATTACTATTTTAATAAAAAAAATAAACTTATAGAAATGTTAGAAATTAGATATTTTATCTATTAATTATTTTTTATTATTTTTGAGTTTTAATACTAAAATTAATAAGATGAATTTGTATCTATAATTGAAAAATATGAACTTATTATATTAATCAACTAAAATTTTAATAATTTTAGTTTAATTTGATTGATAATCCATATGCAATAAGAATTTTTACTTTTTAGATTTATTATATTAAAAAAAATTAATAATATTCAACACTTTATGCTAAATAACTATTATATTAGGTAAATCAAATTTGAATAGTTGATTCAAAGCTTTACAAAAGTCTTAAATCAAAAATCAAATTTGATTTCCTATATTATTAGCTACCTTATAAGTAACAGTAGTTATTCAGCTTAAAAATACTAGATAATTTATTTATTTAATGTCTCATAATTTCACATAATTTTAAATTTTATAATAAACTTTTAACATTTTATTATCCCTTAAACTGTAAAGCAGGCAAATTTGCCTGCAAACATAAAAAAAAATTTAAATTTTTTAATAAAAAATAAAATATTAATGTTAATAATATAATTATTATATAAAAAATATAGTTTAATACATATTTTATCAACTTTATTAGAAGAAATTTAAGTTTATTAAGAAGTTTTTTAAATAATTCAATTTTTAAAATTAAGT